ACTTTCATACACACATATACACACATAAATATATACATACATACATACATATACACACATACACACTCATACATATACATATACACATATACATTATGCATACACCCACATACACACATATACGTACATATACATACACACATAAATACACACAAACATGAGTGCCAAAGAAAAGGAAAAGATGATAGGAAAATTAGGAAACAAACCTATACATGAAAACAGTCAGAGCAGACAGTAGCCCAGAGCAACATGAGCAATGTGGATGTCAAAGTCTGACTCGTCTGGGGCAAGTCTACTATGTGTGTATATGTACATGCATGTACGTGTGTATATGTGTGTATGTATATATGTGTGTATGTGTGTGTTGTATTGCAAACATTAAATAAGACAGATAACGAATATAAGACCCCCTAGCATGTGGTCTATACTGCTTATGCAATGACATTGGCCGTGTAGCTCTAATGAACCATCAGTTGTCTATATAACTCATACAATCATTTATATAAATACGTTTAACTCATTAAAAGAAAACCTCAATGTTATCTGCCAAAGTCTTACTATCCCAGCTCAAGCAGTACATTTAAATCCAGCTGAAATGCACTTCTCTAAAACTGTTCTCTTGCTCACTCGTGGTCATTGTTTCTAGTTAATCTGAAATGGTGTTTTTGCTGAGGAGATAAAAGACAGTAGGAGACAAGACTCCAAGTCTGTTTTGCCATCTTTGCACACAAATAGTGTGTGTATGAGTAAGTCTACCTCTGGAGGGATGCAGCGATGCAGGGTGGCTCTGAACTTTAGGTAATGGTTTCACTCACTTTAAAACAAAAAATGAAAAGCAAAGAATCTTTAGTTTTAGGATTAGAGATAACATGCTCTAAGTTTATTCTACACAATGGTTTCTCTGTTTGAAGAGGCAAAACATCTCCAAGCTGGAGAGATGACAAACACATTAACTGAGTCATTTTATCCCTCATCCAAACCCAGAACCCACTGACTCTCTTGGTCTATTTAAAGCTACATTGACCACCTTCTAATTCTTTTTTTTTTTTTTAAATATTTCTCCCTAGAGAGAAAAACAGGTCAGGAACATGTGGGCAGGGCTTTTAACAAACTTACTTGTGTGGGTCCTTTGATAACACTTCAGTAAACAAACTGGAGAGGCAAAGATACTTATGAACCTGACCCCCAAAGCCAGGCGGGCAGAGAAGACAGAATCTCCCTGATAAATAACCACCAAGTGTCAACTGTACGTCTGGTGACATTACTAGCTCCAAACCAACGACAACCAACTTTGAGCAAGATCTCTGAACTCTTGTCTATATCCTTTCATTTGGCAATTCCTGTATGTGATTATTTATTCTTTATAATGCATGAATGCCCCTCTACCCAAATCAACTGAATGTCACTTGCAGATAAGACCTATCTTAATTTTTTTTATTAGTAAGTTGTTCTTTCACATTTTCATATATGTGCACTCTGTATTCTGGACGCTCCCTCCTTCCACTTCTCTCTGGCCCCTTCCACCAGTCAACCTCTCCTTCAGATAATTACCTTCCCCCTATTGGTTAGGTTTTGTTTAGTGTCCCATATTGATTAACCAGGTTCATCTGTATGATCTTGAGTTTGTAACTCATCATTAGAGCATGGCAGTCTCAACGGTGGGTACACAAGCATGCCTCCCTTTCTCCTAGATTCTGAGGATTGCCAGCACATCAGCAGCAAGTGACAAAGGCCTATGGTTCCCTTCCCTCTTCACAGATGACTGTTAAGAGGGCCTGCCTTTTGCAGACTCACTCGTCAGCATGCCCATCAGCCGTGAGCTCATGGCTTCCATCCCTACATCCTGTTCTCCCAATCCTTTCCCCATCTTGAGGGTCTTACATTCTTTCTGCCCGCCCACAGTGGTCCCTGAACCTTAAGGAAACGACATCAATATCTTCTCTGGGGCTGACACCTCAGTCATCTTTGTTGTTACCATCAGAGCTGCCACCGTCTTTGCCTTTGTTTCCATTCCCCGGAAGGACAGATTTCTCTGGGTATCCTTTGTCTGGTAGAACTGAGTTATGAGTGGCCTTACATTTCTCAATAGTCCTTTTTCTCGCACAAACTGTACTTGTGTCATGATTAAATCACTCGGCTCCATTCCCCTAACCATCTTTTGCACCACAGCTCTCCCGACCCACCCTGGTTTTTCCTTCCTAGTCACTGGAAACATGTTGGGTGCTTTACTCTAAACAGGAGAGTCTGGAGCCTGCCTTCCTGACCTTCCTAACTACTCCATCTTGTAGCTTCTTCAGTTGTCTCACTCAGTTATTTTATCCTAATTCTATCTGAGCAACACTTTCCCATGAACCCACCAGTCCTCCCAGTGGCCCTACCTTTGGAGTTACAAGGAATGTTTATTGTTATAACTTCCTTTTGAAAATTTTTTTTTACCCTATCTTCAAGGGCTTGCTATTTTGCCTACGTCCTTTTCTCCTCTAGTTTTCCTAACCCTTTCCTTTCTTTAGCACCTGAATTTTCTTCAAATTTCAGTATCTTAAGTTTTACTGGAGAAATTAACATATGTGTATGTGTGTGGTACTTCCATCATACACTGGTTATTCTCAACCTCAGGAGCCACTTGTGCAGATTAGCAACTGCTCACAGTGCCCGAGCCTCACACTAGCCTCTTCTCTCCTTACTGGCCTCTTGCTATGCCCATGCGCCCTTCCCAAGAGGGCCTCTGCTGACACGAATAGATGGGACTATTGTATTCACAGGTTTTTTTTCATTTTTAGACTTTAGTAATCTACCCATTCTAGGAGGAAATCCAGACTTAGCTTCTTTTGATTTTTAATAATCTGTGGTGCTAGGGACCACTGAGCTACACCTCTAGCTGGATTGTGCCATTCTCCTTTAGACGCATCTAGTATTTGTGATACAGTGGTATTCTATGAATTCTAGGTTTGGCTATTTGAAAGATGCTCCATACTACTTTGGTACTCTACGTAGTCTAGCAGTGGGGTGGCAGTTTGAAAGGTGCTTCTCACTAACGGCCTCTTGCCCATCCCGTCACACTTGCTCTTTTGGCAACATCGGACACTCTTGATGATGTCATGACCCTGGCGAATCCACTTCCACTGAGCTGTTCTCCAGACATCTACTCTTTTCCTGCTTGCTTTCTCCCATCCAGCTCTTCATTCTGGGTCACTCCATCTGGCTTTGTGTCCACAGTGTGCCTCTCACATCTGGGGGCTCTCCTGAGCATTTGTTCTCAACAGTTGTTTTTATTTTTTCCATTTTATTTTGTTCCATTCTTCATTTATCCCCAAAACTAACCTGCCAACAGTTTTCCAAATCTACCTAAGCACGTTCTGGAGTTTCAAGTATGACTTTCAAGTTGCCTACAGAGCATCCTGACCTGTGAGCCTTAAAGACGCAGTATGAGAGGGAATTAGTTTAATGACTTCCTCTTTCATATTTTCATCTCCCTCTCATCTGATCTATTACACCCACAGCGACTGCAGTGTTTTTATAGTAAAAGCGCAAATCAGATATAGTGATCTCTTCTCTGTCCTTGACATGTGTCGCTGTGCTGTGGGTCCCCACATGGTTTACCTTCCGTTTCTGCTTCTGATCTTGGGTGAAATGTCACTGCAGACTCTTTGATCATATGGGTAAAGACACTGCTCTCCCTGCCCCCTTCCAGGAACTGTCTCCCTCCTTCCTGTCGCACACCTGGCTGGCTGAATTATCCTGACTGTGTGTTTTCACACCGCTTGCCTATGTCCCTTCACAGGATACAAGTTCAGGAAGAAGAGTTTGTCTGGTTCCCAACTGTAGGAGCGGAACCTGGCAGGGCAGACTAAAGGCATTCCTCCTGGAGAAAAGGCAGGTCCTGCTGTTTAATTAGAGCCGAGCCCCACCTTTCAACGTGAACAGTTCTATTTAACTGAAGAGGTGTTTCCTTCCCAACCCACCCATTCTAATTCAATCAATTCATTTCCATAAACAGATTAGCGGTGAATTACACGCTGAGCTATGGAAAGAGGATCTTACTGGCAAATGAGCCCCACCAACCACCTTCACACCTTTTCACTCCAACCCTGGAGTCATAACTACCATCCACTAGAGCTTACTTTCAAGATTGTGGGAGGTGGGTACTCTCCGGTTGACACCGGAATGATCCCCGGAATTGAAGAGGTTTCGATCTGGCCCCACCTTCCATCTTGACATACTATTGTTTTGTTTTGTTTTTTTCATGTATCAAGTTTGTCTTCCGTCACAGACAAGGCATGGGGCACTCTGGCAGCTGGCTTCTGCAGAGCCTCGCCCCAGATTCAAAGTTCAAATTGTATTCATTTGCGCTACTTTGCACCTTGGCTGCCCTGAAGAGTTAGTTCTCAGTGGCCGTTTTGAAAACAAAACTCAAAACTCCTTGAAGTGAGGAGGCAGTGCTAAATAGGAGGGCCGCTAGAACTGCATGCTGGGGTCTTCCTTAACCCCAGCTCGCAGGCTAGACTCCTTGTGGCTAGTTGAAGTGGGGACCCGTAGGAGGCAGGCTTCCAGGCCAGGAACCCAGGGGAGGGTGGGAAGGGAGGAGTTACTGGGAACTCTAGATGAAGGAGCGATTTTAGTAGAGGTTTCGTCAGACCGGGTGGAGAGGGGAGGCCTGGATGCGAGGAAACCGGCGATCTCCGCCCGGAGGAGGAACAAAGCCTTGGCCGCTTCCCACCCGAACGCATTGCAGCTAAAGGGGTGGGAGGTGAGAGTGGAGGGGTGCCACGAAGGGAGGAGCGGGGAGGGGAGCGAGCTAAGGGAGCCCGGAATCCAGAGTTCGCATTTACCACGACGCCTCGCCCGGAGTCTGGCGCCTTCTCACTGCTCCCGGCCATGTCTCTCGCGGGGAACGCGGGACGGACAGACGCCCGGAGGATGTGGGGGCGGGGGAGGGGATGTGGCTGGGGCCGCCCCGCCCCCAGCCTGCGGGCGGGAAAGCGGGGACTACAGCCGAGCCTCATTCCCGGGGCGGCGCGGGAGCAGCTGCGGAGCAGCGCCTGATGCACCTGAGCGTGCTCCGGGGAGCATCCCTGGCGGTCCCCTCCCCCGCCTGCCCCTTTGCCGGCTCCGTACCCCGCGGGGATATGGGACAGGCCTGCGATTCGTTCAGGAGAGAAAGCAGTCCCTTGTTATTTGCCTTCTCAAAGCCTATCGCTGCAGAAATCCCCCAGGCCAGCAATCTCTAAGACTCCTCCCTGGCAGATTTTAAATGCACATTTGTCCCAAGTCAATGCATTAAAGAGAGGCAGTGCAGCGCGTTCTCGGGCGTTGGAAGTGGGCCGGAGTATCCCGGAGGACTTCAGATCTCTGGCGCCCTGCCAGGAGTTGGAAAGCGCCACGAGCCGGCATTTCCTCCGACCAAACCCTAGTGATCCGATGGGCCTAGGGCAGGGACTTTTTACAAAATACTGTATCTGATTTACCACTTGACTCTAATTGTCTCAGGTTGTAGCTAAAGGCAATTGCTCTACTCTAACTAGAAAGCCTTGTTTTATGAATCTGTTGTTAAACCAACCCCTAATCCCAGCTTTCTTCTAGCCCAGCGCCCTGATTCTTTGTTCTTTTCTCTAAGGTCCTGCTTTCCGTTTATATGTCCTTGGTCTCCCTTATCTTGCCAGAGCCTGCACTCGACCCACTTTGGGTTTAAAGGCCTCACATGGGTATAGTTCTCTTTATTCTATCTTTTCCAAAAGATTTTTCCTAGAATAGAGTGTAGCTCAGTGACAGAGCATTTGCCTAGGATGTGAAAGGCCACGGGGGTTGGGGAGCTGGGAGTGGGGGGTGTTCTAAACTCAGCAATACACATACAGGCACAGACACAGACACACACACACACACACACACACACACACACACGCACGCACGCACGCACACATGCGCGCGCCTCGGCACACTGGCTTCTTCATCCTTTGGCTAAATTCGAGTGCAAAAAAGATGCATTCAATATTTGTTTTCTGGCACACACTGGCAAGAGGAATGCTGATTGTGTTGCTTTGAAGGGAAAATAGTTAACCTATCAATTCATGTTGTCCTATATTGGAATAATTGTGTAATAATATTGTACTTTTGTTTGGTGGATCAGCCATACTCAGCACTTGGATGTTAATGTCTGAGCACCAGAACTGTGGAAGAAGAGTGATGCAAGGTGTAGGCTCCCTGACATTAGTCCCTGTGCTTGATGACTGGTTGCATCAATGGGTAGTGCTCTCTAGCACACAGGTAAATAGTTTCACTCAGAGCCATTTTTGTACCTGCCTCTTACATGTTTTCCATTTTCTTTCTTCAAAACTGGGCCCAGACAATACTCATAAGCAATATTTTTGAAATTTCCAGGAATCAGGCTGGAGAGATAGCTCAGTGATCAAGAGCACTTCCTTTTCTTACAGAGGACCAGAGTTCAAATCTCAGCACTCAGGTGGTGGCTTACAACCACCCGTAGCTCCAGTTCCAGGGGATCTGATGCTCTCTTCTAACCTCTATGAGTACAAGCTATGCAGGTGTTGCATGCATGCAAGCAAAGCAGTCATAAATGAACTGAAATGAAATAAAAATGAATCTTAAAAAACATTACAGGGACTGAAAAGTGCTGTTGTTATGGTAACAACTGAACTCTAGAGTCCAGGAAGCAAGTTGGTACAGCTCAGTCCAACACTCTTGCCATTGGGTACGGTGCAGATCTAGGGTGGGGTCATGGGTGGTTCACAAACCGTGCTGGAAGATATATCACGTGAGTGTCTCACTGCTTCAATGTCAGACTCAGACACAAGAATCTCATTGTGAAGACATAGTACAAATTGTGGGGGCAGGGGACTTCATAATATATTTCAGGGCTGGGTACTTGTCTTCGTAGAAGACCATGTGTTTAGGATGCTCATTGGCTGAGAGACGGCAGACAGGCCTTTTTCAAAAGACCGTATGTTTAGACATAAACATCAATGAATTTCTGAAAAAATATAGCTTGCTTGAAGAACAAGACTCTTATGAATTCATGTTGCAGAACATTCTATATATACCATTGTAGGACATTGTATAAAGAACAATAAATAAACTTCGAAAATAATACATTTATATTTCTTCCTATCATTATATTTTGTATTTGTTGGACTATACTTGATACTCTGGATCACATGAATGTAATAATATTAAATTATGCAATGACCAGAGCAATAATGCTGCTGTCCAGGCTTTACTATTAATCTTACATTAAGAAGATTTAGAGGCAGATGTTTCATTTCTGTAATAAAGGTTCTGAAATAGTTTTGGATAGGAATTTGAATTCTAGTATGACTTGTATGTTTTTAACACATGAGTCTAAACAAGTAAGATAGTTGTGTTGTTTCAATTCTTTCCTCTGTAAGCAGGGAGGGGTAAGGCATTTCTGTGCTGCATAGGATAATGAGATTAACATGAAATCACATTATTGAAAAACCTTTGGAAATGCTAAAAAACCCAGAGTGTAACATTATCTGCTTGAGATGCCATGAAAAAAAAAATTCATGAACAAAGAAAGGGTTTTGACTGCTGAAAACAGAAGAAATGACCTCTCCCAGGGATGAGCCCTGATTGGTTATCTAAAGACCTCTCTCAGGGATGAACCCACTGATTGGTTATCTAATGACCTCTCCCAGGGATGAGCCCTGATTGGTTATCTAAAGACCTCTCTCTGGGATGAGCCCACTGATTGGTTATCCAATGACCTCTCCCAGGGATGAGCCCTGATTGGTTATCTAAAGACCTCTCTCAGGGATGAGCCCACTGATTGGTTATCAATGCCAAGTGATCAGTTCTGACACCACCTACAAGCAAACAACAAAATGGACTCAGAATGCTGTATTTGTATATTTGTGTATCTATCTATATTTATATATTATATATAAATATATATATGTATGAATGTATATAACAATAATAAGGTAAAAGAGGCCATCAATTTGGAAGGAACAAGGAGGAGGTTGGGACAGGACTGAGTAGCAGCTGGAAAGAGGACTGGGAAGGGCATTAGTGATGCAATTCTATTTTAATTAAACATATATAAAATAAAAAAGATAAAAAGGAAAGAGTAATAAAATGATTCTATGTAAAATGATAGAAATGGACGTGTGTGCTTGTGTGGGTTCACATGCCTGAAGGCTGGAGCAGAGAACACAGTATATCCTGCTGTCTTCAACCTTATTCCCTTTCCACAGGATCTCCCACTGAGCCTGGCGCTGCTCTGGTAGCCTGCAGGCCCCAGCAACTTCTTGGCTCTACTCTAGACAGTGCTGAGGTTTCAAGAGTGCACAGCCACACACAGTTGTTTTGATATATTTTATTTATTTTCTATATGTGGGTGCAGGGATTTGAACTCAAGTCCTCATGGTTGAGCAGCAAGCATTCTTACCCACTAGGCCATCTCTCCAGACCATAGGGATTATTCTGTAAAATGTACATAAGGCCCTAGGAAGATGGCTCAGTAGTTAAGAGTACTTGCTTCCCTTATAGAGAACTTGGTTTTGGTTCCGAGCACCCATATGGCAGCTCACAACCATGCATGAATCCAGTACCAGGGGATCAAATGCCCTCTTCTGACCTCCACTGGCACCAGGCATATACACAGTAAACACACTTAAAAACACAAAGGCAAAACATTCACACACATAAAATAGAAACAAATAAATCTTTGTAAAGAATTGACATAAGATTCAGACACACCTATTGTCTGTAGACAATCTGGGACTGATATGTCAAAATATACAGAAAACATGAGAATATAATTAAAATAATGGATTCTTTTCATCATTAAGTGGTATGTAAGTTCAGACTTTCCACTAATAATTCTTCAGAGGAGCTACAAGAACAGAGATGCCCATCTTTTATTATGAAATATAATATGGCACCTGGGGGAGTACCTGGTGGGCTTGTGCCAAGGTATCTGTCCCCCTCAGAAATCACACCATGCAACCAATCTGGTATAAAGAAGGTTTACTGGGGGGAAGGGAGAGGAGTGAGGGCCTGGAGAAGGGGTAGAGACAGACAGATGGGAGCAGAGCCATGAGGGCTGAGAAGCGGGTATGGGAAAGGACAGAAAAGGGGACAGAAGAAAGAGATCATCCGGGAACATGAGAGAGAGTGAGAGGGGGGAGCAGTCCTTTTACAATCTGCCCACACCTGGGAGGAATCTAGGGGAATCACCTGGATGCCAGCATCTTTGCCATGTTAATAACCAGTAAGTGCCTGCATTTTCCGAGCATTTGCTCTTCCATGTTTTCACTGAACATCCTTCTCACTTTAAATTCTCTCCACTGTCATGGTACAAACCCAAGTATTTATCAGTAACTGAATCTCTTTTAAGCTGGAAGTCCTTACTAATCTTTTGACATTTTGATGACTCTTGGTCTTTTGTAAGTGAAGCAGCAATCTCATCTGCCCACCTTGCGTCCAGTCAGTCACGCAGTGACAGCGGACTGGAAACTTAGAAGGACATTTGATTCTTTCCAAGTCCTGAAACAAGAAAATAAATAAAATTCTGTTAGCCTGGGAATTGTGTTGAAATACATAGACATGGGAAACCTGGTGAGTCAGATGGTTAGTCAGAGTTACTGGTGAGAATCTGGAGCAAAGCCACCGTGGAGGAAGGTCAGTGAGAATGATGACGGTATTGTGCTTTTCCATCAAGCAGAACAGAACGCTTTGCAAAAACCGAAAGACTCAAAACCTTTTCCTCCAGACAGTCCGTCCAAGTAAAAACCTTGTGAGCCCTGAGGTAATGTCCGCTCTTTGCAGTAAAGAGAACTGTAGCTGTGAATAACTGTCGCAAAAAAAAAAAAAAAGACCAACTTAAACAAAAGCCCCATTCGTATTCATAAGCATAGAAATCCATCTTTCTGGCCTCTCATTGCAGTCTGATTGCAATGTGAGGTCCTTGAGAAAAGTACACAGCAGTTCTCAGAACTAAAGCCAGAGGCTGCCTGGTGGCAGCTTTTACAGCATCACACCTTCTTTTGTGATTAACCTTCTGTTGAAGAGCTCGCTGATGGAAGCTGTCTCCCAGCAGTGTCATAGATGGGTGGCCACAGCAGTAAGCTGCTGGGTGGCTTCGTGTCATCCACCAACTATCTCCCCATCTAACCGGAAGAAGAATTGGATAGTTTCAGAGAAAAAAGAATAATGTGTCCGTGTGTTCTTCCAGATTCCAGCTCCTGGCAGCTGATCTCAACTCTCTTGGCCGCTGTAAAGCAGTCACCGAAAGATCACAGCTGCGGAACTCTGAACTGAGCACAGAATAAAACAAAACAGACCAGAAGCAAAAGTTCTATACCTGACCCAAGCGGTGTCGTTTTGCATGAATGGAGTATTAGCATTTGAGGGTGTGATGGCAGCTTGTGCAAAATTAACTGGTGCCTCAGCCGGTGCTACCTCCCCAGTAAAGGCCTAACTCAAACAATCAAAACAAAACCACATAGAAACCAAACAAACTTCCTAAAGTCTACAACTTTGGCTAGTATCCTAAGAAGACATTTAATGGTGTATGAGGCTGAGGACAAGCTGTTTATTTTGCTTAGCTGTGTAGATATCTCCTCAGCTTTGACTTGATGTGCAACACACACTAGTCCAGAGGATGGGGATGCTGGATTCTGGATTGCGTTTTAGAGTTGAGGTTGGAGACGTTTAGGATAGAGGTTCATAGTTGTACCTTAAGGATTAAAAAGGATGAAAGAAAAAATAACTTCTTAAAAATCTCACCATAAAAGACTTAAATTGATGGTTTTAATGTTATCTCCAAGAAAGACGATTAGATACAGTATTAAAGAAACAAAAAAATAAATAGGTATTATCAACATTTTTCAAACTATATATTGATAGTTTTTGTCTAAAGAATATGCCGCAGGAACTTTAGAGGCTATGGCTTAGTCTCTTAACTCCTCTGAAACCTTGGCTTTGCAGTTTGGGTCATATTTAAAGTTGACATGAATATTTTTTTAATACTTTTTATTTCATTCTATGGATGTTTTGCCTGCATATATGTCTGTCTTTGTACCACATCTGTCTATAGCCTACAGAGACCAGAAGGTGGCATTGGATGCCCTTGGAAATGCAGTTAAAGGTCAGTTGTGGGTACAGGAACTAGCATCTGGGTGCTCTGGAAGAGCCATGTTTCTGGTCCCAAATCATTTTATTTGTCCTAGAAGACCAGAATCTTATGTTTCCCTGCCCCACTTGCCAGGTGTGAACATTATGAGTCCTGTAAATAGCAGCAAAGATGAAAGCCAGTGGTGCGTTTCCTTTTGGCTCTCTCAGTGACTTGTTAAGACCCT